CCGCACTTCAGGAGGGATGTGGACAGTATTGAGAGGGGTCAGAGGAGGGTCACTCACATGATCAGGGGGCAGCAGGGCAGGCCCTACAACGAGAGGCTACAGGACCTGAACCTGTTCAGCCTCCACAAGAGAAGGCTGAGAGGGGATCTAGTAGCCGTTTACAAACTAGTCAGAGGGGACCAGCAGGCATTGCGGGGAGTCCCTGTTCCCCCGAGCACTACCGGGAGTGACAAGGAATAACAGCCACAAGCTGGCAGAGAGAAGATTCAGACTAGATATTAGAAGGCACTACTTCAGTCAGGGCGGCTAGGATCTGGAAGCAACTTCCAAGAGAAGTGGTGCTGGCTCCTACCCTGGGGGTCTTTAACAGGTTAGACGAACACCTCGCTGGGGTCGTTTGACCCCAGTACTTTTTCCTGCCATGGCAGGGGGTTGGACTTGATGACCTGCTCAGGTCCCTTCTGACCCTACCAACTATGAAAGTATGAAACTTAGGGTAATTAGGGAGTTTAGGTAATTAACATAGTAACTTATTTTGCTTGTACTATTATGGAGATTTTTGTTAGAGTTAGAAGGCTAATGGAAGCAAACACAGGATGCTGTCCTTTGAGGAGAAATAAGAGTGACACCAAGAGCCACAGTCTCAAATGCATACTCCTAGGGGATAAATAAAGCTCTTGGGATAGACATATCTCCATGCCCTGCATTTACACAGTGCCTACCACAGTAAGGCCCTGGTCTAGAGCTGGGGCTCTTAAGTACAACTACTCTATGTGATCATCATGAACAGTAAAACAAAAAATAAACAGATCAGTATAAGGACAGTACCTAAGCCAGGAGAAGAAAATAGAGCGGGGATTACAAGGCATTAACCCGCTGCCAGGCAAAATTAAAAAACAAGGTAACAATGAGAAATCTGTCCCCAAGTGCTAGGCTGCTGCTCAAGTCAGGCAGGATGGTTGTCCCTACAGCACAGCTGATGTGGCTCCTGTTACCTCTAGGGCAGTCAGCATGGGTACCGTGACTCTCCTCCCCTCTCCTGTTCTCTGCTCCCACCTCCCCAGTCAGGCCAAGGCCCCACACACCTGCCTCCAGCACAGGTATCATACTAGTCCCTTTGCCCAATTCACGTAGGAAGTTACCTAGTGTATTCTGTGAGCGGAGCCCAGTTTTTGCCATCAGGGAAGCAGAACAGAGGGATGGCTTGAAGCAACCTCTCCTCCTCCTCTTTCTGGCCCCTCAACATGTTCTCACGCTGCAATGAAAATGAAGCAAGAAAGAAAAATCAAAAATGAAAGAGAATCCTAGACTTCTTGCCTGAGGGACCAGACCTGAACTCTCCAGCGGGGAGATGCAAACCAAGATAGAGACATGTCAGCAGAGCTAAAGGAACCACAGCTGGAACGTCATGGGGTGCTCTGTGTCAGGGTTCAGGTTCATTCACAGAGCAGTACAGGGACCCAGGACTGGAACAAGACATGACCCATCCCATCCTCTTGCAGCATCCTCCTCCTTCCAAATCAGTGGTGCTCCACCTATGGCCTGCAAATGACAGCAATGTCATCTAGCCCATGGGCTTCCCCACAGTCCGGAAATTTCATGGTGAGAAATGTGCTTGCAGCTCTGGCTGCCATCATTCCCCCACTACCAATTTCCAGGCCTGTGCACTAGATCAGTCCCACAGCCTGATCCTGTGCAGGAGATCCAGCCCCATGACACTCATCTGGCTCCCATCTGGCCAAATAGGTTGAGTACCACTGCTCTAGACTTTCCAGTGTGGACAGAAGGACCCCCCACAACAGCAGCTGCCTCACTCCCCAGGGACGCATTGCTTTTGCTGGTAGCAATAAGTCCATGTACAAGGCTCAGAGACACCACTATGTCTGAAAATAAAGCATTCAAAGCTGGAAATGAGGCAGCATAAGGTCAATAAGAGGCAATCCAATACAGCCAGATTCCCTAGCTTCTATAATGCACAATCCTACAGAAGCGGGGCCATGAACCCCAAAAGGACTCAAGGAAGACTATTACCTATAAGCACTCCATGCTTCCACAGGCTCTGCTGATAGTGGGAAGTGGCCAAATTGTGCCAACCTAATTTACACCATAATGGTATAAACAATGGAGCCTCCTTACCATCAGAGGTCATGAATAACTTGAACTGGTACTAATGGGGCATGACCTAGCCCAAGTCTCCAAGGAAAAGACTCTTATTAGCATAATATTAATTAAGCCCCCATGTGGAAAGCAAAATAAAGCCTGCCAGCCTTAATGGGAATTCAAGTTTTTCTTTTGGGGAGCAGGAAGAGAAATGCAGAGCTCAGATGCTATGAATTGTCATGGGCAAAAGAATTTGCAGCTATAGAAATGAGAACTGTTTTACTCTCCCCTTCTTTCCTCCATTCACTTGCGACTCAAGGACTGCTGCTCTCATTGTTCCCATCAGGGATTTGTGTCCTGCTTTCCAGAGTTAACAACGAAACATCTTCACAAACCTGTTGGTACTATGATAAATGCAGCAAAGATGTGCCCTAGAGCAGGGTGCCCCTCCTAAGGTAATCTGGCTTCCAATAAGAAGCACAATTTTTGCCTCCACATTTCACACAAAAGGTGTCAATCCCCTTGAAATCTTCCATGCTACAGCTCATGCCCAGTGAAGCTCAGGGCAGGTGAAAAGAGAATTTCAGAATGTGGGGTTCCCCTTTTCAGTTTGGCCTCCTTTGTTTCCTTATTCTGGATCCATCTGGGGGCCAGTTTACTCCCTGCATGAGTAAGTTATAAAAGCCCTAAGGCTTGGGGAAGCCCATGGGTTTGGCGGTGACGTCTAATAAATACATGCACATTCTGTTTGCAGGGCAGGCCCAGCTCCTTACCTTAGGGAACTGATAGGTTATTGTGGGCTCATAATCTCCTCCTGACTTCTTCTTTAGTGAAACCACAACTAAATACTCAAAGAAGAATTGTCCTCCTAGACAAGAGAGGGAACTTCGCTCTCCTGCTTTTCTTGGAGCCTCAGGTGCGCAATCCTCTGCAGGGGACTCCTGATTTCCTTCTGTAACCAAAAGTTAGAGTGAATGATGACAGGACGGGCAGTGAATTGTCCTTACACCAGAATGAGAGGTGCAGAGCAATTTCTAAACTCTCCCCACCCCACATCAGCCCTTAAGATGGCTTCAATGATCCTGAATTCAGCTCAGACAGCAGAGCATAGGCCACCGGGTCCTATATGAGAACCAGGAGATGGAAATCATGGACACAGAGGGTGGGTCAGAACTTGGACAGAAAGCAATAAGGACTGCTGCTAAGGCAGACTGAGTTAATATCATGCAGGGAGAATAAAAGGGGCTTTTAATGAGTTTGTTAAGGGAAAAAGGAAATCCTACTGGGTGTAGGAAAAACTGCCTGGCAGCTTCCGGAGAGCGGGGAATTGGAAACAGCAGCAATACTGGGATGTGAAACTGTGCTTAAGGTTGCCCAAGTCACTCTCAAAAAGTTTGCTGCAAGCCTGTGGATCCTGTAGTCACTCAGAGCTGGGTGTGTTCAACTTCTACAACTGATTCTGAATGCAGGGCAAAGGACCAGGATGAGGCACCTCCTAGCAGCAACACAGCCGGGCACACGGAAGATGCAAAGGGTGTCAAGGCCTGTGTTATAATACCACCTCACCTAAAAACCATCTTAAAATTAAGCCAGATTTTTAAATAAATCAAAATGTTTGGGGCTATTTTTATGTGTCTTCTGGTTTCAGAGACTCAAGAAATCAAATTTCTACCAAGGAGCTGAAACTTAGTTTCCATTTAAAAACGCAAGATTCTCATGAAATGTTTTGTTCTTAACCATGCAGGTCCTTAGGCCCCTGTCAGGCATTACACTTAAGATGTGAATAGTCGCAACAAAATGGGGAGCAAGCCATAAAGTGATCACATAAAATATGTGTAATAATTTTGTGGCTGGTTCCTACCATGCCTTAAATTGAACAAGTGGCTGGTGCACTTCCAAGGCTAGGAGCACCAGCCAGCTGAAAAGGGCTCTCAGCTTGCTGCTTACACTGTGTACCTGGCTTGCTACTTACTCATGCAAGGGAAGCCCAGGATCACGATCAGGATCCCAGTGCTGGCAATAAGGGTGTGATGGGGATCTGATTACTGATGCCACAATGCACATGCCATGGAAGAAAACACAATTATTGGGATCAGATCCCATTGCACCTTTAACTGAATGTCTGCCAGCGGCCTAACCGTCAGCCACCATCATAGCCCCCTTGTGACAGGCTGTGACCAAACACAGAGTAGTGGACAGCTCCCAGTCTAAACTGACTCGCCAATATGGGAAAAGGGGACAAGTGGGGATTAAAGAACAATAGCTCAAAACTGAACATAAAAAGCTACAAGGACTAAGAGCACCATAGTCCTCTCAAATTAGCCCTGCAGCTGTGCTGGGAGCAGGTGACACAGCCCTTAGTTGGCTTTTGGAGTGTGTCTACACAGCACAGTGATGGTTCAAATATAGCTTTAATCTGGCCAGCCAGGATAACAATAGCAGGAAAGAGGCACAGGCTCTGGTTTCAGCTCAGGCTGGCAAATCTTGCCTCCTGGGGACCTTATGTGTTAGTAGTTAGTAGTTGGGTGGCTAACCTTATATGTTAGTAGTTGGGTGGCTAACCTTATGTCTTAGTAGTTGGGTGGTTAACCTGCACTGAAGCCTAGGCCACCACATCTTTGCTGCTCTGGGTCCCCGAGCTAGCTAGTTAAAACTAGCACAGTCAAGCCCACCTGTGCTGCCATCACACCGTCACTGGCAGTATAGAAACACAGCTAAAGCTCGGTTTCCAAACCACTCTGAATTCAGATTTGGCTGTGCTGTCAGCCCTCACGTAACATCAAAGGTCAGTGTGCCAGGCTTGGATGCTTGAAAGAGAATGAAAAAGGTCTTGAAAGGAAAGAAAAGAGTGCAGTTTTCATTATCATTTAATTAAAAAAAACCTGAACAGTTCATGTTCAAACTACCCAAAAAGACTCCAATAAAAATTAAATCAAATCCACAGATTTCATCAGTCAGTCCTGACAACAGGTTCTCAACTCTCATGCTTTTTATAGTGGTATCTCTTGGGGGTTTTCTTTGGTTGTTTTTTTTTTGAAGCTCCAACTCTGGGAAACAAGTGATGCCACGAGACTCTCATTTTTCATTTCAAAATAAGTTTCCAGCTCTGCTGATTGTGAAGAAAGGTGGGAAAATGTTCTACCCAAAGGCTCAGAACCCCAGGGTCAAATACGGAGAACCCAGCACATTACCCTTCAAAGCCTCACGGTGTTTAAGTCGAGCAAGTGTGATCCTGGAGGAATACAATTTATTGTTTTTGAAACACAAGAGACTGGCAACACTGGAACCAGGTTAAATGTATTATCATAATAAGACAAGGGTTATTGTAGTAACTTCCAGAGTTTCCATAGTAACTTCTTCGGCTCTGCAGTTGCTCGTGGCTTTCCAAATCTCTCACCTGTGACTAGGAAATTCCTCACCTGCTCCCAGCTCCAAGGGCCAGGGGCAAGGCTTGCAAGCTGGAGCAGGAACACTCAAGCCATTCCAGAAAGCGACGAGCTGGGGCGTGGGGAGAACAACCTTTTTACAGGATGAAAGTTGCAAGTTTTTAATGTTTTTAAAACAAAGCCATGTTGTCTACTGGAAATTTCGGAGCTATGCTCCCACTCTCATGCCACTTCTGAGCCTGGCTAATTTACAGTCTCTACAGCCAGTGTCTAAAACCCACCACCCGCTCTGATCTAGGGTTCAGTGTTGGTCAGATATCCAGCTAGCTGAGACCTGCCTGTTCTTGACAAAACTGCTGCAAGCAGAGCTGAGCACGCATGGCATGGTGATATCTGGGCCTGGTGTCTGCCCCTTTCAGAATACAGCAATAAAAAATGCTAACTATGGAGCCGTGCTTGCAGCTGAGTTGCTGCCCTGCAGCTCTCTTGGATGATAACCATCTTATTTTAAGCAAGAATGATGCCTTGGCTCATACAACTTCAGACTTAAAACTGTAGCTATCATTACAAAGTATGTTGTTCTCCAATCCCTATCCCTCTTCTTGGCATCAACTGCAAGTAAAGAGGAGGAGAAGGAATCTGAGGATCCAGTGGTGGCTCATTTCCTATCTCATCAGCTTATGGAGCATGTGGGACCTACGATGCCCAGATGTATGGTAGAGTACTGGACATCCTCATGTCCCTTTTCCCTCTACCTGGAGCGCAAGGGCTGGCTTTCACATCTGGCATCAGCCCTCTCTAATGGCCCCTCACATGTAGGTTGCTTCTAATAGGCCACTGACAATCCTATTCCTCTCCATTCAGAGGAGGGGCAAGGGTGCAGCACGCTCCATGTAAGCTGGTACCTGACCTCTCCCAGTCCCCATGCTCTGGTTATGTATTCTTAAGGAAGGAACATCCTTGTCTTCGGTGGCACTGACAATCTTAGGTCAGAAAGACATGCTAGAGCCTGATCCAGATGCCACAGCAACACCAGTCCCCGTACTAACGCTGAAATGCCAGAACCAGCACAAGGAAATATGACACGAGCAATAAGCCAGCTTTGCAACAAGATTCTCCCTATTCTCTCTTCTCTTTCC